TAATGTATCAAGTCCACTGTCAGATGCTGGGAATCATGGCAACTACTATGGCAGACGACTTTGGACTAGGTGCGTTCTACATGGTCTCCCTGATAACAAGACCAAGTTACGACAACGAGGTCAACCCACTTCTATCAATCGAAAGGAGACTGCGACCACACCAGCGACCACAACATCTTGGTCTTCATATATTCAACCATCTTTAGTTTTTACTTATCATATGAGAGACCTCTTCATAATGGAACAGGATTCTTGGTAAAACGTCATAGAAGCAGCTATTTTTTATTTATAAAGGAAGTCGTTAGTCTTGTATCATCTTTGTAATTCAGCATTTTGTTGAGTGGAAGGCTTTATATCTTACGCCTCATTTTGTGTTTTCTACAAGTCTATTGGGTCTCCTGTCTATGGCTATGTTGGTTCATGACTTTTTCCATTCGACTAGTTCAAGTATAACAATGATTAATTCCGATTCCTATACGGCCATTCAAAAATTTTAAATATATTTTACATATTTGCATGAATCGTGCATTGAACTTATCTCTATAAATTTACTAAGGCTAACGAAGGTATGAAGACCAAGATGTAATATTTTGTATGGTCGCAGTCTCCTTTCGTTGTATACTAGTTACTTGACCTTGGTTTCTCAACTTGTTCATATTAGCAGGAAGACCTAGTGAAACGCATCTTGTTCAGAGTCCAGAATATGCGTTATAATTTTTAGAGTCGGACCGTGTGCTTGGTACATTCCCAGACATTTCGCTGGTATCTTAGCCGGCATCGCCAGTGAGTCTTGCCAGTCTTATCACCACACTACAACTCGTCAGAGAGACAAGTCGATCCTCTGATTAATTTTCTGCATACATTTGTAGCATTTCTCCTGGCATATTCACCTATCCTATATCTTCGTATCACCCCTTCACTATGGCAATTTCTTGCTTATTTAAACGTGTTTCTGACGTGCTCTTTTGGGCGAATCTCATACGGCCTATTCACACCCCACGCTGGCCTTCTCACTCCTTTACCCTTGTGCTGGGATTGTTGATATGAGCCTGCCCTAATAGTTCGCAATCCCCTTTCCATAGGTTATATCAGAGTCTCCCCCTTGCCCCGTAATATCCATCTCTTGTTTCCTTGGTCCAGGTATTTTAATCTATCACTGCCACCTTATCTGTGCTACCCGAGGCGTCATTTCCCACAATGCCTCAAGCTTTTGCTGGTACGTATACCGCCGCCTCACTGGGCCGACCCACAAAGTCTTGGTCCTCAAGCTGGATATGAGACTAATTTGAGCCTATAGAAATGGCAAGTTAACCAGAAAGGAACACTCGGCGAGCAGGACGAGACGTCTGCAGTGGGCCTAATCAGAACAAATAAAATCACAACATTTGGGGGTTGGCACACCAGAGACTAGGACATAGGTCATAGACTTTGCATTAGGGATAGAAGCACGATAGGTGCGGCAGAGACTTAAGCTAGTTGGCTGACAGGCATGGCCTGTTAGGTAAAGGCTTGTTTTTCGTATTTAAGCAGGGTTTTGAGACCATGACCATGAGAATTACCCGGCGCATATGTCGAACGCTAATAAGCCGATCTATAGTCCGGAATAGTCTCCTATCCATTTTGAGAATCCAGACTTTAGGGACCGGCTTAATGAGGCGGGCGTGTAGATGCCACTAGAGGCTTGAGGCAGAGTGTGGTAAATAGCGCCTCGAGTAGTACGGCTAGGGTGACAATGGTCGGGTGAAATCCGTGACCCAGGGATATAAGACAGATCCTACGTGACGAGGGAGACTCTGATAGGACCTAGAAGAGGGTTGCGCACTATTAGAGCAGACTCAGATCAACAGTCCTTGTACCAGGGTAGGGGGGGTGAGGAAGCTAGTGTCTCATGGTATCCGCCAAAAGGGCATGCCAGAACCACATTTAAATAATTAAGTAAGAAATTGTGACAGTGAAGGGGTGGCACGAAGACATAGGGTAGGTTACTACCCCAGGACAGGAGAGGTAATACAACTGTTTAGCAGACGATTGGTCAAGGAATCGAATTCACTTGTCTCTGGAGCGTTGTAGTGTCGTCCTAAGAGTGGCAAGGCTCACTGGCGATGCCGACAAAATGTCTGGGAATGTACCAAGTCCACGGAAATTGTCATGCATATTATGGACTCCGGACAAGGTGCGTTCCTTTAGGTCATCCTAACGGTATACCAAGTTGCGAAAACAAGGTCAAACAACTATTTTATTGAAGCTAGGTTTGGTGACATCTTACGTATTTGAATAGCTTAACATTGTTATTTTGAAGGTTTATTAATTTGCATTCAACGGTTTCCAGTATTCTCCAAACGC